ATACCAGGAGAAGCATGGAAATATGGAGGGGAAGAAGTGGAAGAGTGGGTCTGGAGCTGGTGTAACAGGGTATGGAGGGGGGAGGGATGGCCGGAGAGATGGAAGGAGGGAGTAGTGGTGCCGATCAGAAAGAAAGGAGAGGGAGAGAAAGTGGAAGATTACAGAGGGGTGACATTAATGAGTTCATGTTACAAGATATATACAATAACGTTGGCAGAGAGGCTAAGGAGGGAAGTGGAAGAAAAGGGAATAGTACCACAGAGTCAGACAGGTTTCAGAGAAGGGATGGGGACATTAGACAATATATATGTTTTAAATTATTTAGTGAACAGACAGCTGGGAAAAAAGAAAGGAAAAATGACGGCGCTGTTTATAGATTTAAAGGCAGCATTCGACTCGGTGGATAGGGGAATATTAGTGGGGGCAATGAGAGAGAGAGGGGTAAGGGAAGGGTTGGTGGAAAGAGTGGAGGAGGTGTTGAAGGAGACGAAAAGTAAAGTAAGGGTAGGAGGGGAGGAGGGGGGGAACTTTTGGACGGCGAGAGGAGTGAGGCAGGGGTGCCCATTGAGCCCACTAATCTTTAATGTAATGTTAGCAGATATAGAGGAGGAAATGGGGAAAGTGAAATGGGGAGGAGTAAAGTTAAGAGGGCGCAAGATATACTCCTTAGCATATGCAGACGACATGGTTTTGATAGCAGAGGAGGAGGAGGAGATGAAGGGCATGATGGAAAGGTTAGAAAGATATTTGGACAGGAAGAATTTAGAGCTGAACACCGAAAAGACGAAGATCATGAGGTTTATAAAGGGGGGAGGGAGATGGAGGAAAAAGGTATGGAGATGGAAAGGGAAGATAATTGAGGAGGTGAAGGAGTTTAGATATCTGGGATACATAATACAGAGAAACGGAGGGCAGGGGGCACAGATCAGGGAGAGGGTGAGAAAAGCGACAACGGTGATGGGGCAGGTATGGGGGATAGGGAAAAGAAGATTCGGGAAGGATTGGGGGAGAAGGTTATGGTTATTTGATAAATTGGTATGGACGGTGATGGGGTATGGGGTAGAGATATGGGGGTGGAAGGAGAGAGAGGAAATGGAAAGGGCAGAGGAGAGATATTTAAGATGGGTACTGGGAGTAGAGGCAAGGACGCCAGGATACTTGGTGAGAGAGGAACTACAAAGGGAGAAACTAAGGGGAAGAGCGGGAAGGAGGGCGTGGGGGTTTGAAAAAAGATTAGATGAGGGGAGGGGAAGTGAGATAGCGAGGGAATGTAGGGAGGAGATGAAAGAGAGATTCAAAGAGGGAAGAGTGAGATCGGAATGGGAGGAAGAAAGGAGGAAGTTCTTAGAGGAAAGGGAGATATCAATTGAGGAGGTGGAGAAGAAGAAAGAGAAGGGAGAGGCGAGGTATGAGGAATTAGAGAGGAGGGACAAGGAGAAACAGAGAAAGGAAAGAAGGGAAAAGATAAGTGAATCGAGGTTTAGTAGATGGTACAAGGAAGTAAAAGGGGAAGGGATACCGGATTATCTAAAAAAAGGATGGGGTGAAAGCAGATGGAAGAGAGTGGCAAGATTCAGGTTGGGGAATGAAGTAAGGGAGGGAAGGTACTGGGAGGAGGAGGAAAAAAGGAGATGCAGATTATGTGGAGGAGAGAGGGAAACATGGGAACACGTATGGGAGGAGTGTAGAGAGTGGAAGGAAGGAGGAGGAAGCTGGCAGGAGGCGGTAGGCTGGGTATTAGGAGAGGAGGGAGAAGGGGAACGGTGGATGAAAGAGATAGAGAGAGAAAGAAAGGGGAAGGAGGAAAGGGAAGGAAATATGGAGAGGAAGAGAGAATGTGTGAAGGAGAGAGAGATGCATGAAAGAAAAAAGGAAAGAGAGAGAGAGGAAAAAGGAAAGAGAGAGAGAAAAAGGGAGAGAGAGAGAGAGAGAGAGAGAAAGAGAGAGAGAGAGAGAGAGAGAGAGAGAGAGAGAGAGAGAGAGAGAGAGAGAGAGAGAGAGAGAGAGAGAGAGAAGAGAGAGAGAGAGAGGAGGGAGAAGGGGCGAAGTAGTTGGACATAAAAGATGTACAAAGCAATGGAAACGGAAGTCCCAGAGGCGAGATGTGTGTGTGTATAGGTAGGGGAGGAGGAGGGTGGGCACATATGGCTCACGCTCCTGCTCCAAAAGGCGGTTAGGTTAAGATAGGATTAAGGATAGACTAAGTATAGACTAAGTATAGATGTAAGGAAATGTATGGTGAGAAGAAAAGCTTGTAACCCTAAGGGGAACAATAAATTATTCATTCATTCATTCATTCACTATGGTCGTCCAGTGTCGACTCGCACGGAATCGACTGATAAATCGCACCACTAGTATTGTCGTAAAAATATCAGTCCGGGTATTTATGGACCGCACTGTATATAGTAGACTGCAATAGTATTCGTCAATACTTAACCTCCCTTAATACTTAAGTATTGACGAATACTAGTCTCTAATACTTATAATAATATTCATCAATATTGACTGTCAATACTCAGTATTCATCAATACTTAACTCACTCAATATTTTAGTATTGACCAATACTGACTCTTAATACTCAGTATTACAACCTACCTGAATACTAAGTATTACAATCTCAATACTAAGTATTGAGCCTCGATACTTATTTTCCGTGAGGGTAATATATCCAGATAGACATTTGTTGGCATTTTGCGTACATAATTACAGCATTTTTAATATTAAAATTGTAGAATATTTACACAAAGGAGCTTCTGCATTGAATATTAATTTTGTTGATACGTTATTGTAGTCATAATTAAATGCTGTCAAAATGACAACATATTAACATATGTATTAACATGTATTAAATAAATTGATAAATTTTTAATAAATTGAAAGTATTATGCCATACAACCCATTTAATAGTTTGTCTAGAAATATAACAATAATAGCAGCATTTAATTGCAATTGAAATTGATCATTATCGTATGCTGTTACTATTATATTATATTATTATACACGAATTGAATTTTTCTATTTAATGTTCAATCTATCTGGGTATATCAATCTGTAATATATGAAACGATATATGTATAGGTATACATGGGCATAGCCAGAATTTTATTTAGGGGGGGGGGGGCAAAAATTTATATATATAATATATCTTGAGACAAATGTTATTATTATTTTAAATAGATTTATTAGATTTATCTTAAAAAAAAAAATACTTATTAGAATATTTATACTAAAGCCAGATCTTCGATAAATCTTCTCAGTACTTCTTCTTAGTTTCTTCCTTTTTTCAAGCACTATTTTTCTGTGTACACTTAACATGCATAGACCATTGAAGCGGTTCTCTGACATTGTTGACCGCAACTAAGTTTTCACCCTTCTGTATCCAATGTACTGAAGGATCTTTTAATAGTACTTGTTGTGCACAGTTGGGCTAAAGAAATGTGCAAAGCATGTTTCGTTGCTGGGAAGAAAGTCTCTTTTACCACTTCTGGTAGTTCTAATTCCTTTAGTTCTTCTTTTTTAATTTTTTTATCCCTCCAGAGGCTGTACTACAGTTCAGCTTTATTGAGAAAATTGTTTAAATTGTAATAATCGGAACAACTTTGTGCGGTTTTCCTAAAATCTTTTAATGTCATGCCCAACATAATACAAGGGTGCAGTAATAATAGTGAGAAAGTCGGTAAGTTCTCATCGGAAAATCACTGCTCCAGTGAAGTTATTAAAGCATCTAAGTAAGGGATAAATAGCGACCTTTTCCAGAATTCGGCAGAAGTTGATACTTAAGGATTTGAACGGTGCTGTTATCGCCCTACGATCTTTGGCAGTTGTAAATCTACTCCAATGTTCTGAGCAGTTATGTTAGCGGCAGCTAGAAGATCTTGGCTTACGGCGTCCACAGTTTTGCGGTGATTTTTCACGATAGCTAGTATTCTTTTTATATGATTCGTACATTGTAACATGTCTATACTTTTTGACTGTAAAGCATTTATCACAGGTTCCAGCAGCGTGGAATACTTTGCTATGAGACCGACACAGATAATGAATTCAGACTTTGTCGCAGCACAATGCAGCTGAAAAGCAACTTTTCTGGTGATAGTGTTGCCATCCTTTGATAGTCTTTCTAGTCCTTGAACGATGCTCACAAAATGTTCTTTGAATATGGCGATACTTTTGTATTTCTGAGACCAACGTGTCTCACAAAAAGGTAAGATGTTTAGGGCATATTTCGTGGAACAGATTCACGAAAGAAATTAATTATGTCCTTCACTGTTGAAATCGCGTTTCGTATTTCTGGGATACAATTCACATCGTTCACTACTAGGTTCAGTTTCTGGCTAGCACAGTGAAAGAAAATAGGGCTTTTTTATACTTCTCCCGCAAAATTTTTTGAACGTTACCGTCCTTCCCTGCCATAGTTGGACACCCATCGTAACCCTGTCCGACATACTTGTCTGCATTAAGATCTTTGTTTTGCAGAAAGTTGTCTATTGCAGTAGCTATAGTTTTAGTGTCCATGGCAGCCAATTCCACAAACTCGAGAAATTTCTCACGAACAACCATTTTTTCTTCGTCAAAAAATCGAATATTAATTGACTTCTTTCCTGATATATTACTGGTCTCATCAGCCACTATGCTATAGGCATAAGCCTTTTTTACGTCGCTAATGACTCATTATTTTATCTTTTATAACTCCCACAAATAACAATTAGTTCATTTTGAATTTGCAAAGACATATAGATGGCATTTTTTTCAATATGTTGCTTTAAATTTTGATCACCAGCTTCAATTCTCAATTAAATTAAGTCTTCGAAAACACCTTGATGTTGTTCTTTACCCCTCAAAGACAAGTCATGTGTACTACAAAACATTATAGTCGAAATGATTGATGTCATGATTTTTCTATTCTCTTCTACTTTTTTCTTATGCGCAGAAATCATCATGACATCTACAGGTATACCCTCCATGAAGCTTTTTGCTTTTGTGACTGCTGTTTTGTGACACTGAGTTGAGACATGATCTTTGCAGAATTCATGTCTTTGTAACGAGTAAAAGGCTTGATGATGAATGAACCCAAAACGCCTTATAGTTGGTGGAAACAGCACACAGTACAAGCACAGTGCGCCTTTAGTCGTTTTGAATATGCAAGCCAAGGGGCATAGGTCTGCAGCCAACTGCTTAAATTTTCGTTTGAAATGAGTGGCATCTTCAGTAAAGTTGTAGCTTTTTGGAAGTGTCCAGCAGCGTTTAAAAATTTCCATTTTTTGGAATGCTGTCATAAGGGAAGATCGTCCGACCCATTTGCCTAGGTCATTATCACAACAGTTCTCAAGTTCAAATTCATCACATGATAATAATAATGATGAAGGCCCAACTTGAGGTTCAGAAGAGGTGATAAGTGTGGCTTCCTTTTCGTCCTTAATCCCACTTTCATCACTGTTTTTTTCTCGACGTTTCTGGGTCACTAAAATTACGAATTATAAGTACATTTTATATATATAGGCTATATATTATTTCAAGTTTAATTTATAGGTGCATACTTTGTCAGAAAATAGACTGTGACTTTATTAAATACATTATATTAAATACATGACATTAATCGACGCAATTAGTATCAGAAATTGTGAAAGTATAGGACACGTTTCACTCAAATGGTTTCAGGCACAAAACATAATAGATAAAAAAATATATAATTAAAGATGATATCTGTAATATCGAAGATGCCATGAAAAACTTACCTTAAAAAAATCTTCTAATATCTATTTTCAAGTTTAGACCTAATACATTCAACCACAAGGGCAGAGCTTCATAGATACAGCTACAGTAACCACATGCAAGTGGAATAACTAGACGACTAACTGACGAAGTGTAGTGGATTATAAGCATACATCAAGGTTAGATCAAGGTTATAAGCGCTACCACATCACTTCGTGAATGTTCGAAAAATGTCACCATCGTGGCATTTCATTTTCAGTGACACGTGTCTCTGAAATATTATAAAGATCCTTCATTCGGGAAACTTTCGGGCTTTCCGTGCGCGCATCTGGAATATTCTACATCCTTCCTATGTGACTAAATTATCTCAAAATCATTGCAGGCAATTACATGTGGTGGTCAATTGCTAATTAATTAAACTTTTATTATTATTATTATTATTTTAATATATACATTAATTTTCAGCATTGTTAAAACTTTATCATCGGTTTTAATTGCAGAACATGTACTTTAGCTTTATTTGTAAAATCTAGATTGTAATGCATCAGGTACATTTCTTACATTTATAACTTTCATAATTATTTCTTCTCTGCGACG